ATGCCCAACATGTGTTAATTATTAATTTTATGACTAATTGAGTTGTGTGTGCTGATTTAGGGTGTTTGGAGAGCAAAAATATGAAGAAAAGGTGCCCCAGCTATAGGAAAAGAGGGTGGATGTGTTGCATCCAACCTAGGAAAAATTGTATTTGGTGCACCCTTAGCAGTGAAGTCGGGATAAGGCATCCGCCTTAGCATCCGCATCTGGGCATAACAGAGATGAAAGAACATAGGGTGGATGCGAGATGCTGAGAAATTGAAGCTGAGGCGGACGCGAAGCATCAATCCCCGAAGTTGAGACGGAGTAGGAAAAGAAAAACTTTGGCCCACGACTTTTGTACGCAATATATAAGCCAAAAACGCATCTTTTAGGTCATTTAACACACTCGGAAGCGGAGAAAAGCCATCACAGAGTCCGGAAGCCACGAAATTCGTCTTGAGTTCTTACTTTTCCTTCTTTTATTGATTTGTATATATTCTTGGGAATTATTTAAGATTGCTACCATGACTATGTATGGCTAAACTCATTCGTTCTGGGGTTATGGTTTTACATGAATGTTGATATTCGAATATTGATTTGACGAGTTAATTTATCATATTGGGTTGTTTATTCATATCCTGAGTTTAATTATTTTACTGCCTCGCTAACAGTGAAATACTATATATGAATCTTGAGTTGAACTTGAAAGAGGTAATTCTTGATTGCAATAGGATTGAATAGAGCGTGATCTTGAACCTAGTCAATGGGGAATTGATTTGCGAATACGGACAGAAATATACCTATTTGTCGTGCTTAGTCACTTGTGTAAGAAATTGTTAATGTATTCTTTTTATCTCTAATCTCATAGAAATATAAGGTTTAGAATAAATTGAATAGGCGAGTAGAAGTTGTCAAATTTCTACGAGTATTATTGTCCTTGCAGGTTAATAACCCAGATAGAATAATAAGTCGAGTCGATTAAAGAATTCAACAGGATTGTTAGCCAGCCATAACCCTGGAATATTATTTCTCATTGAATTAAAATCCTTCGTGCTAAGTGTGCTAGTTCATTAGTTTTTCGTTTACTTGCAATTACAATTAGTAGAATTAATCAAACAAAAACCACCTTGAAATTGTTCTTGACTCGATAAATTAGAATTCGCTTAATTTAGTTAATAATTGATCACAAGTTCTCGTGGGAACGATACTCTACTCACTCTTTATTACTTGATTGACCGCGTATAGTTGCGTGTGCGATTTTGGGCAACAAGTACTTACAATGGTACAAAGGGATATGTGAATTGCCTTTGCCCATGCAATACCCTGTTTACCCATTTTATCACCTCTAAACCTCAATTTAACTTGTTGCACTACATTCTGAAGGAACACTTCGGTATAAAATGTTGGATTTTTGCTGTATCTTGCTAGAATCTAGATAATGCACAAAAATCGCTGATTTCTCACGTACATGACTAAAAGTTTACTGCAAATTACTGGGAAGGAAGATAATAAAGGTTAGACGAAGTATTTAACCTTTTAGTTACTATCTCCGGTTCATATTATATGTTGTCTATTATGGTAGAGAACCAATTTATAGTAGGTTTTAACTTTAATCCATACGTCCACATATATTAACAAGAAAATCCAACAATTGCATCTTCTTCAACTTTCTTTTTTTGATAAGAGCTATCTAAGTACTATGCCAAAGTTATTGCTGCTAGCTGGACTTTGACGAGACCAATTAGTAAATGTTCTAGACAGTTTCACTCCTGCATTTTATAAGATTTTTTTTTTTTTTTTTTTTTTTTTTTTGGGTAAGTTTCCGCTGATACAAAAAAGGGTGAGGAAGTTTCAGTATTTTTTCGTATTTCAAAAATATAAAAAAATATTGTGTTTCTTCTTCTGGGTTCCTGTTTTGAGATGGAGATTTGTTCAAGCCAAGTTTAATTTGTCAGTCGAGGTTCGGGGTCCCNCAACACTTGATTCTTTGAGGCCTAAACCATGTGAAGTTGGCTCAACATCGTGCAGTCCTACACCAAAAGTTCAGTACGTAGTACTCTATGCAGCCATAATTCTGGCAACTCTGGGGAGTGGTGGTTCCCGATCAACCCTTTCAACATTGGGAGCCAATCAATTTAATAAGCCAAAAGATCAAGGGATTTTCTTCAACTGGTTCCTTTTCTTCGTATATGGTTCTTCTGTATTAGCATCCACAGCTGTTGTCTATGTTGAAGATAATGTGAGCTGGAAAATTGGATTTTTCATTTGTGTAGGAGCTAGTGTTCTTGGTTTAGTCATTTTCCTAATGGGACGCAGATTTTACGCCTATTCTAAGCCAGAAGGTAGTTCATTCACCAGTTTGGCACGTGTTGTGGTTGCAAGTATTAGGAAAAGAAAGGAACCACTCCAATCGAGTGGTGATGATTTCTACCATGGACATAGTGTTGCACCCAAAGCAATAGTTGTTCCACCTTCAAAAACCTTGAGGTAATAGTACTATACGATAACTGCGATCTATCTCATTTAAATATATAGTTTAAGCTATTAGAGAGAGATCAATTATATCTTCAACATTGCTCCTCATGTGCAAGCCACGTTGTTTATCCTCAAAATCGGATAACAATTGAATTTATACGTAATTTTAAGGATACACGATCTAACTTGATACAAAATGAGAAGTCAGATTAAGATTGAAATTAACGATAAGAAAAGTAAATGCAAACCACACAAGTTGAACAATCTTGGCCTTAAAGGTTGATCACCCTTGAGTCGAAAATGCTACAATCGATGCCGGAATAGAGTAATGAGATAATAATAACTAGAAATGATAATTTATTGCTTTGAGATACGAGTTACAATGTGTTTTACAAATAATCGGACCCTCTTTATATAGTAGGGGAGTCCTACTTTAGGTACAATTCTATATAAGGTAAAAAATCTCATGATTTGCTAATTAATCGATTTCATTGATGCGTGCCGAGATTCCGTCGTGATGTTCGACCGGTTACAGATATTTCGGCCTTCCGTTATTTTGGTTCGATGATGTTTTCTCGAACTAATTTGGAGTCAGAGTCAGTTCCGGGGTCACTGACTCGATAATCTTTGAAGGCGCATGTTCTACCCTCGTACCTAGGTTCGATAGAATCCAAGGTCGATCTTCAATCCATTATGTTTCATCCCCGATACGCCATGCAATAGGCGAGCTCAGTTTCTACCGTATACAGATAGTCCCCTCGTTTTTCGGAGAGTAAATGACGAGAAACGATATGAACCTCATATTCTCACTATATAAGCTTTTGATTCTCACTATGATAAATGACGACAAATTTACGACGTAAGTAATAAGAATAGCTGAAATGTCCCGTTGGTCCAGTCTTCGAGGCATTGAATGTGTGTCAGTTAACGGTCTGCCGCTTTAGAATACGAACCGCCATTTGAGAAAACTATAAATACCCTTTTAATCCATTCATTAGAACTTTTACATTCAAATATTTGCACTTGTGTTTTAAGAAAACTTCATCACTCTCATCTTCAAACTTCTTTCCTTCTCGTTTTCTGAAAGCTTTCATAAGTTATCTGCTAATTACACCTCCTCTTTTATCAGCACTTTCTTTTCTCCTCTATTTAAAAGCAATGGCAAAGACTTCAAAATTCGTTCCTCAAAAAGAAACTCCCTCTTCATTGAAACCGACTGAGAACGTTTTGCCTGTTGTTACTGAGGAACCGACACCGGAACCCCTTCTAAAGATGTTTGTCCCCGAGGGGTATCCAATCGGAGCCGATTTCAAGGTTGAGAAAACCTCCTCGGTACCGGGCCGACAATGTTCTCGACAAGGTCAAGGAGGACTGCAACTGGGTCGGTAAGCACGTAGTGGTTCCTACGCCCGAGGAAGCAATCACCGCCCATGTGGAGGGCTTTTTAAGTGTTTACACTTATCCCTTTACGTTGGGCCCTTTAGACCCGGTCATCATCGCCTTTTGTAAGAGGTACGAGGTGACCCTAGGCCAAATTCATCCCTCCTTCTGGAGGATAGTCATCCTCCTCCACTTTTTTGTAAACAAGATCAAGGGGTGCCCCTTCACCATCGATCACCTCATGCGTCTGTACAGTCCCCGACTCTATCGAGGGGGGCTAATAAAACTTGTCCATCGAGCCAGTAAGGCCCCGTTCTCGAGCATCGACGAGGATCGGGATCGAGGCTGGTTGGGCCGATTTATTCGAGTGAAGACCTCGGACTTAATCCCGGCCGAGGACATGTCATTTCCTGAGAAATGGAACATGAAGCATAAGTATAACCTTGCCTTTAAGATTTTGTTTATCATTTTTCTTTTGCCCTTCTTCTTATCGATTCTTTATGATGTTGCGCGAATGTCGAAAATCTTATTCCGAGCGTGCCTGGCATGAGCTTTCAAAGGGCTGATGGGAGGCCTGTTCTCATGGTGAGATTCTTTTTTTAAGTTATATTTGACTTTACTTCCACACACTACAACCAAAAAGGCTTTTTGCGACAATTAAAATACTTTTTAGCGGCAATAGAAATAGCGGCAAAATCATTTACCGACAATTAGTTTTTGGCCAGTGTAACTGGCGTCGGCAAAGCTATTAACACCCATTAGACCAAATGCTAGTAAAGACCCCTTTTAAGGCCGATAAAAGTCCTTGAGTTTTAGCGGCATTTATTTTCCGGCAATTACAATGGCCACTAATATCCCCCCAACATTCCATAGGTCATACATCTTGCAGCCTTTATGATTGCCGCTAAAAACCAATTTAATGGCCGATAAACGGTACCTCAATTGGCAGCAAATACAATGGCCGTTAAAGCGATTCTAGAATTCTGCTTTATTCATCTATTCAATGACTTTTGTAATGGCCGGTAAAATTAATTGCTATAAAAGAGGATATTTTAGCGACTTTTGTATTTGCCACTAAAAATTAAGAAAGAACTACTCCAACATTTGTAATGCATGTTATGCTTATTTACATTCCATAACTATAATAATAATAATAATAATAATAATAATAATAATAATAATAATAATAATTCACTTCAAGAAGCTCAATGTACTTCACCAAATCCATAATTTGAGTGTAAACAACGTAACTAATGCTAAACTATCTGAATCTAATAACTAATATGATTTCGCGTCTAATTAATTGTTTTATCAAGTAGCTATAAGCTCGATAATAAGCTACATCGGGCAGATTCTCCTAACTCTTGATCACAATGACTTTTACATGTCATATTTATGAACATCACAATATATGACCTGAAATAATAAAATAAAAATGAATGTCAAATAAACGACATATAAAGTTCATCAACAGTGAAGAAAACAACTACTTGACCTTTACATACTTGTATTGGCAGCATATCAAGGAATTGCCACTACATAATTCAATCAAAATCAAGTGTACAAGAAATGCATTTCTTTTCCTACTAACCATTACAATACAGCAAAACTCAAAAAGGTTTATAAAATACGAAGAAGGTCAAATGCCAGTCCAAACAAAATACAGTATGTTACACTTAACAAATTGCATTCTCTTTTGTCCTTAACCAATCCTAAATCTTTGAGACACTATAATGCCTGTTCTTCACAATAGAACTCTTATCGTGACAAACATATTAAATGGCTATGACACTTTCGAATATAAATGAGCCTGAAATGTCATTATACATGACTCTATGGAAAAATAAATTGCATAGCTACTTCCAGTGGTAATTGGTAAATGAAGTAGACAACTTCATTGTTTAAACTCATTTAAGTAGTTGGATTTTTAAGTCCACACAGTTATGTTTCAGCATAGAGATTACTTCATGTAATTTAGTGCAACGGTAGACATATATTTGTTTCAATTTAGACAAGTCATTTTATTAGTTAGATGTTTTATCAACTTTCTTATAGTGATTGTCTTCCAAAAGGCTAAAGCTAGGTAAGCAAATTATAACTCCTAAAATTTTAGTTTGTTGCACTCTCTTCAAAAAAATTAAATTTCAAGCAAACACCTCTCAACTCCATGCCTAATCATATTTAATTCAAATTCCTCATCTGCTGATATAGCCCATCTTTCAGCAAAACAAGATAACAATATATATAACCAACATACTTCCTGGTAAACTCAATAACTTTTAACATTGAAAACTATAAAGAAAAAAATAATCTCTTTTTTAGTCTATTATTTCAGTACTTATCCATATAGAGAGGGAAGTATCTAACATTTCATTCTCATCCATAAAGAGAAGATAAGATATTCGGAAAAGAATGCAATCATAGTCTAAGAAAATTATCCACAACGAAAATGAAGTTGACGAAGTTGACTGATAGAAAATAGATATCAGTTTAACCAAATAGAGACATTAGTTTAAAAAAAAAAAAAATTAATGAGTAACAATGAAACCAGACTAAATAGGAGATACTAACGTAGCTTTGTTCTAATGAGTAAAATTGGTACTCAAGGAACATAGTGCCTCAATTTAGATCCACCAAAGCATAATAACAAGAGCAGAAAATAAGGTGTTCCTTCAAGAAAAGTGTTGAATATCACCAACCATAAAATCTTTTCATTTTTTTTCTTTGACTGGCAACCTTTACCCATTCATTTCTAGTAAACATAAGAAATTCTAAAATGCCCCAGTAGACAGTACTAGTATTTTTAGTAAATTCACACGCTTTCAAGACCAAATAACTAAAGGGAAAACTAAAACAAGCCAAGGTCTTCATGGACTTGCTTCAAGATAACGAGAATTGGTATTACAGCTAGAGTACACATTTCTTCACAATACTATATAAAACAAGTTAAAGTACTTTAAAGAAACCTGAAATTAAGAAGGAACTCTACCTTTTTCTGGAGACATTTTTATAATTGCCTTGCTAACGAGAGAACATGCCAGTCTAAAATTCAAGATACATCTGCCCGCGATAGCTCAAGCCTCAAGAGCCGCATGCTGTTGTAATCTTCATTACCTGTGCACAAATAGTAGATGTAGTCAATAATATCACAATGACATTAAAACAAAAATGCAAACTAATGCCCTGGACAAAGTGTACCTACAGTATTCCGCAGACTCAAATTAATAGTGCTGCCATCGACAACCACATTTGCACTAAAATATCAAATACAATTGGGACTTAATCCTGAACACAAGATAACAGAGAATTGAAAATATGATGTATCCGTAATATGTTGTTGGAGAAATTCACGCACCATTATTATACATATATTTAAAAATATTAATTAAAAATGTAACTTTCTTAATCATCAATTAAGCTACCTCTTTAAGACTTCAATTATGGAACAGCCAAGCATCTAAATCAGAAACTAAACTATTCAAATTCAGAAGCAAAGACAAGTTCTTCAATAATAAGCCTTCATCTTTATAATAGAGTATCCGCATATTCAACCACAAGGTCCTATATTTGAAGCGTTCTTCTATTTTGTTTACAGAAGTTATCACCAACACTAAAAATTTATGCGGACAAATAGTTTAACCGAGCAACTTCAAGGAGAAGTCCAGTAAATTAAACATTGCCAAAAACTATTTTCAATATGGCATCCCATTACTTTGTCATATCAAATGCATAAACCATATTATACACACAAAAAAAGCTTATTGCTATTGCCATTCAAGAAGAGCTTGACGAGGTAATCTGCAATCGTAATGGGCTCGAGCGGGTGGAGCAACCATTTAATTTTCTCAGAAAACGGTGAAGGGGAACTACTCCAACTCTAGATATACAAAAATCACCTTAGCAACTGCGAGATGTGAGGAAAACAAATCGAATTAGAATAACATTAACTGAAATTTATGCGTATAAATATATGTACATGGATTTATACATACATACACTACCATACCATATCGGAGAACAGTAAAGGAAAGAAAGAGAGATATGAATATATGTTTGAGACCAAATAAATAGACGGAATGAGATAACGAGAGTGTAGAAAGATATAATTGTGTTACCTGGGTTTGGTAGCCGACGGTGAGACAAAAATGAGTTGCAGTGGCGGCGGTGGTGGTGGTTTCAGCGACGATGAGACAGGTCGAGCCTTTGTGAAGTATTCCCAAATTTTCCAAAATTAATTTTGTTATTTTGATAAATTGGAGGGAATAGCTGAGTGGTGTGAAAAAAGTGAGGGAAAGATAAAATGGTGAAATTTCGTTTGAATTAGTTGCTTTTAGTGGGTAGTCATTTTTTTTGCCGGTACAAGAGTATCTTTTCCTAGCCAATATCTAATCTTCCTGAAATATTTCTCCATAAAGAAATGAATTAGCAGCCAATAAGTTATTGCCACTAAATAATTGACGTTAAATTCTTATTTTGTTATAGTGACACGTTGATTTCTAACTTGTTTCACTTTCCTTTTGCAGGTTTACCAAAAGATGTTGAAATAAGGCCCCCATCCGGTGACGATGACGTCTTCACCAAGCCCCCTCCTCCGAAGCAGAATAAAGAGAAGAAAAGAAAAAAGGCTCTGAATTCTCCGGGCCCTGAAAAGGATAAATCGAAGAGGCGATTGGTGCGAAAACCCAAAGAAGGCAACAGTGCTCGAGCGCCGCCCTACGGATTCACTTTACCGATTAAGAGATGAGTCTGATGGGGAATAAGGGGCATTTGACATGTTGGATAGCATGCCGCCTCAGCCCGAAGGTCAAGGAGCTTCCGAGCCAGAGGGGGGGTGAGGTTGTCCCTCATCAAGTTAGAGAAACCGAGGAGGTCGGGGTCGGATCCTCGCGAGCCGTGGGCACCGCTTCGAAGGAGGCACTTGGCGTAATAGAGGTTTCCTAGTCGCCCTCATTCACATAATCGATGTTTAACTAGAAGCAAGCGGGCCCTCTTCGAGCCCAAGATTGGTCAATAAATTTCCTGCTCTGATTGCGTATCCCGATCGAAAACATACCATTATTCTTTCCCTTCCGGAGGACGCTCATATTCTTTTTCCCCCCGTAGGGGTGGCCATCTATCTTCGGTGCCTGGTGATCGAAGATGGTCAAGTTAAGATGAACGAGGTGAATGCACCTTGCCTTTTCAATGAAGCGCAACAGGCGTTGAACCGGGTAACTTCATGCTTCCCTAAGTGAATTTTTTACTTACACTTAGATTTTTTCGCAGATGACTTAGCGTTTCTTTTTTTGCTTGTAAGCTTCGGTGCTTCATCACGAGGTTTTTTTAGGCACCGAGATGACCTGAAACAACTTGAAGCTGAAGTTCGAGAGCTTACTGAGAAGAGAGACGCCTTTAAACTTCTTAGTGAGCAGCTCGAAGGGGAGGTTAAGAACCTTTGTACCGAGCTGGAGGTTGCTCGGAAGGATCATGCTGACTTGGTCGAGCAGGTAAAAGTTTTCGATGTAAGTGATGATGAATTTGATTCGGTGACTGATGGTCAAAATCTGCAGGTCTAGCAAAAACTCGATCGGATTAATCAACTTCTAACTGAGATGGATGTAGTCAAGGCTGAGACCGATAAATAGAGAGGCAAGATGGATCGTCTGTCCTCGGAAAAAGAGGTTGTTCGGGCACAACTAACTTCAGCCGAAATCCAACTAAGAGCGGCAAAGGAAAGGGCCGAGATTCAGAGACAAAGGGTCGAGGAGCTTCAATCTCGGCTAGGTTCGACCGTCTTAGATCGAGATAATCTGGCCAAGGAGCTTAAAACGGCCAAGTCGAAAGTCGTCATGGTCAAGGCCGAAACTGATGAAATGGTGGCCCAGTACAAGGCTGATGCCGAAGCGGCTCAAGACCAATCGAAAAATATAGTCGAGCATATGAAGTGGTAATACCCTAGGCAGGCTCTTGAGGAAGTTCACGCTCGAGGTTTTGACTTATTTGCGGAGATTGAGGATGCCAAGGTGTTTGAAGCTGAGGCCAGGAAGTTGGCCTATCCCAAGGAGGATGATTATGAGGGCTCAGTTGGGTCCGAGGATGGAGAAGACCCCGAAAATCCCGATAATGAGGCGGGCTCTAGCAAAGATTAGGTCGCTTCTGTTCGATTTTATTCCTTTTTGTACTTCATATTGTATGTTAAGGCTGCTCGGCCTTTGTAAAGATAATACTTCGTAAATACAACTTTTCTATTTCTTTTTTGGCGATTCTTGAGTTCTTTCCTTTGATTTTCTTTTTATATTTTGCAAAGATTGAAATACTTTAGCATTAAGTAGTTATGTCCAGCATCTTGAATAGACTTGGCTTTTGATTTCGTTATCTCTAAAGCATCGTGGGACCCAGTATGTCCAAGAACTTTTTCCTTGAAATACTTATGCTTTTTAGAATATGACTTGCTGAGAGTGTATTTTTTGCAAGCTTTTGTTTTCTCGGGTTTTGTTGACCCAGAACGGCCTTAGCCTTTTGTTTTTTGTGTCATCTTTTTGTTGAGGTCGTTTTTGGCCTTTGTAAAAAAATTCATCGGGCAGTTCGGCCCTTGTAAAAGAAGTTTTTGATTATGAATATAAGGCTTTTCCCTTCAACAACTTTTAAATTTTCTCTTTGCCTTGTTTATTTTTACTTGCAAAGATCTACATGCTTTGGCATAAAACAGTTGGTTTTTGTTTAGAGACTCGAAGAAATCTTACCTTCAACTATTTCGTTTTAAGGAATCGTAGGGGTTCGGTGTGACCGAAAGTTTTCTTTCCCCAAAGTACTTAGACTTTTAGTCATAATCTGTAGAGGATAGCCTTTGGAACCGGGTAAGAAAATTTTAAGGCCTTGTTATTTTTATGACGGGCTTCAGACGTCTCCGAGCCGAGTTTATATGCCCATAGTCTTTATAATTCGGGTGTTGTCCCGTGTTAATATCATTATCCCGAGCTATCCGGGTTTTCCTAAGATGGCATTCCCCGAGTGGGGGGTGGCCTTAGCCTATAAAATTCGGGGGTTGCCTAATAGGTCTTATACCCCCGAGGTCTAATAGCTTGGACCGTCCGAGTTTTTTTCCAGACGGTAGTCCCTGAGTGAGAGTGATTATTCGAACTCAGGTTAAGGTGGCCCTGGGGCTCGTTTCCTTTAGGGGATCGGAAGCAGGGAATTCCTTAAGAAATGTAAAGAAAAAAAATTTAAAAGACAAGATGTTTGCAAGGAAGAGACTTCTCTTTATTCTTGTGCATAATAGTAATATATGTGTACATGCTTTATGTCAGGGTTCGAGCAGTCTATGCGGGCACGGTTCATTTGATTGTTTGGCCCTTACATAGAATCTTATCGATCGAGACCCTTCAATCCTGAAGTCTCTTTCCATGCTAAAGTCTGTATCGGAGGGTAATGCCCCCTCAGTATTCGAGGTTGATCGAAGAGAGATCTCGAATACTGTTTTGATCACCGTCACTGGTTCGCTGCTGCCCTTCGATTCTAAGTTAGTACGATTTGCTTGTTTCCTCGTTAAAAACCTTGCCGGAAAATCCATTGGGGACAAAATCGGTTTAAGCAAAAAAGTGTGCAACGCATGCTTTCATACCTAAAATCTCGTACTTTTCCTTGTCGATCACCTGCAAGAGTTAGTCCGAAATATAAGTAAAAGGAAATGGATGGGGTCATACCTTAGCAATAATATTATTTCAGGTGAGCTACATTCCAATTGTTCTGTAGTTTCTCAACGTTCATTGTTCCGAGCTTATAGGATCCTTTTCCGGTGATCTCGATAATTTGGTACGGTCCTTCCCAATTCGGCCCTAATTTTCCTTCGTTCGGGTTTCGTGTGCTTAGCGTGACCTTTCTTAGTACCAAGTCCTCGGTATTGAAGTGTCGAAGGCTGGCCCTTCGATTATAATATCTTTCAATTCAATGTTTTTGGGTGGCCAACCGGATAAAAACGGCCTCACGCCTTTCATCTAATAGCTCCAGGTTCGTACTCATAGCTTAATCGTTCGATTCCATTGTCGCGTATGAGAATCTGATACTCGGTTCCCCGGCCTCAACCGGATGTCTTTTGACGGAGCTGAAAGGCCATGGAAATATGGAAAAGGGGGTACTGTGAATTTACAGAAAGTGAGTTCCATTGTCCGGGATATTGGGGAACC